CGTTAGACCATTGACCTCGCTATCCGTACAAGCCGGGACGGAGCACGCCGGGTTCTCACCAGACCAGGCTCTCACATCACCAAGCGCGAAGCGCCGTGAGGTACTCCACGAGTCGCATGATTGGTGCGCTGCATCCTGCTAAAAATGGGTGTTCGGCATCTTGTGCTTACTTCCTTGCGTACGGATGACAGCTGCGTATGAATTGATTCATTTTCTGGTGCTTTCACTTCCAAGAGACAGTTGTAAGCGCTGTGTAACTGCCTCGGGTGTACTTGACCAATTCAACACAACGTGCGATCATCCCCTTTGCGCGGAGTGAGGGTTCTCGACCCCGCACAACATAATCTACTCGACCACCATTCATGGTTACCACAAAAAGAAAATCAAAGGCAAAAAAAAAAAAAACCGGTAACCTGGTTGCTGAGCTCACTAAGTGAATTGACTTGTTTTTCAACATCGCTGCCAAGCGACGAAAAGTCGACCCCGATGGCAAACATCGCCGGAGGGGGGGGGGTCAAATCTCCGGACGTTTTTGGGAGGACGAATGGAAAATATGTAATGTGTATTATTATCCGTCAATATATCTGGACACTTGTGGATGGAGGGCGATTGCAAATTTTTCACGGGCATTTGAATGGAAGAAAATAGTCTTGTGGATGGCTTCCCTCAAGTGTGTGCTGGCTGCTGCTGCCGCAACCCGGCGACTGTAGTATATTGAAGCCTCTGCCGCAATAGTTAGCATGAATGTTGTCGGGCTACGACCACATTCGTAAGTGCCCTGGGGGTACTGCAGAAACACTGGCACGTAGCGAGTTGTAGATGAAGAAACGCTGCTGTGTTCCGTGCCTCTCTGCCGAAGAGCTTATCCCCTCCGCCCCTCCTCCTTCTTGTGTTGCTGCTACCGCCACTGCTGCTTTCGTTGTGCATAGGGTGGGGCCGCACTGACGACACCGGAGCAGGTCCACGGGCTGATGGAGCGCGCTGAGTGCGGCTGGAGTTTCTTCATCCGCAACCTGGAAAGCATAACGGAGTCGCTTCGTCCGCCCCCGCCAGCTCCACAGCTTCGGCCCCTGGGTGCCAACGGGGCGGTCTCGCGCGCGGCGGCGGCGGCGGCGGGCCCTGCTCCTATCAGGTGGGGTGCGGCAAGGCGTGCTTCTGTTGGTGGTTTGCGTATTGGTTATTCGAGCGAAGCGAGATTTCTAATCTTGCCTGAGGAGACAGCGCAATATAGGCTTCATCCAGAAAAAAGAATATTTACAGTTTGTTCGCTTAATCTAGGTTTTAGAGTACATGATTTGATTTAGACTACAGGGGTCCGCAGATGCACCTTTTTTTTTTCGGAGCACACTGTCAGCGGATTGCAGCAGAGAACACACGCACTGCGGGCGACACTGCACAGCAGACAACACACGCACAACAGATAGCGTACGCACAACAGGTGACACACACGCTCAGCGGGCGACAACATCTGGGCTCGATGCCGCTGAACTCTCTGTGGTGTGATGAGGCTGCCATGTATTGCTCTGTCGCGCATGTTTTTTGTTTACCGCCGCGTGCAACTGCCAGCAATGTGAGCACAGCACCACATTAGTTCTCGAAACCTAGGACGCTGATCGCCATCGCACCACTTCGAGCGTGTGCTCCATTGCGGTGTCTCTGGGCGTGATAGTTGTGTTGGGCATGGGTGCTGCATGTGGCGAGAGCATCGTGGCGATGTGAAATCCGGTTTGGCTTTTTCGCCTGGCAATGCGGCCCGATTGCCCGGGCCAAAAAAAACGATTTGGATTCCACGCCGCCACGAAGGTCTTCCCCCACACAGCATCCATGCCTAACACAACTGCCACGCCCCGAGATATCGCAATGGAGCACACGCTCGAAGTGGTGCCATGACGATTGGCGCGCTAGGCGACGAGAACTGACTTGGGTCCAGCTGTTCGCTGGCAGTTGGCAAAACACCGAACAAAAAAAGAGGGAACAGGGGGTTCAGCAACAATAGTATGCGGGGGGTATGTATGACCACGAAAGCGGGTTGTTGACGGGTGGGGGGGATAACCGGTAGGTGAGAGTTAGCGTTACCACAGCTACAGCTCTCACACCAGCACAGCAGGTAGTTGCTGCATGCGTGGTGTTTGCACTCTGTTTCCGCCCGTGGACGCACACGTCTGACGACAGTTACGTCTATCAGCTGTCGCTCGTTGTAGCGACAGNCATGGGTGCTGCATGTGGCGAGAGCATCGTGGCGATGTGAAATCCGGTTTGGCTTTTTCGCCTGGCAATGCGGCCCGATTGCCCGGGCCAAAAAAAACGATTTGGATTCCACGCCGCCACGAAGGTCTTCCCCCACACAGCATCCATGCCTAACACAACTGCCACGCCCCGAGATATCGCAATGGAGCACACGCTCGAAGTGGTGCCATGACGATTGGCGCGCTAGGCGACGAGAACTGACTTGGGTCCAGCTGTTCGCTGGCAGTTGGCAAAACACCGAACAAAAAAAGAGGGAACAGGGGGTTCAGCAACAATAGTATGCGGGGGGTATGTATGACCACGAAAGCGGGTTGTTGACGGGTGGGGGGGATAACCGGTAGGTGAGAGTTAGCGTTACCACAGCTACAGCTCTCACACCAGCACAGCAGGTAGTTGCTGCATGCGTGGTGTTTGCACTCTGTTTCCGCCCGTGGACGCACACGTCTGACGACAGTTACGTCTATCAGCTGTCGCTCGTTGTAGCGACAGCTAGGATATCTTCATGGGAAGGCTCAAGTGTGGTAGTTGTTGGGTAGTATGGTGCGGTGGTCAGTCAATCCGCTTGATAGTAGGTGTTGGACTGTATGGGATAGCAGCGCCCAATCAGCCTGCTTGATGGTATGATGGTACGATGGTTGGTGCTCAAATCAAACTCCTTGATATGTGGTGTCTGATAGTACGTGGAAAAACGAGGGTCCTGTAGTTAAGTTGAAGCGATCGGTGCTTTGTGTGAATGGGGCTTGGGGGGAAGGTTCGCAAGCGGTTGTGCGGTGTCATGTGGGACAATTTTGTGTGCCAACCGACCGCAACTGCTCTCTGTTTTATTCTTCGTTGTGGCTTTCGCTCAGGATACAGCCGCCTTCTGTGGTGCCCCCCCCCCCCCCCCCCCCCCCCCCCCCCCCCCCCCCCCCCCCCCCCCCCCCCCCCCCCCCC